TATTAATGTGGTGTATTACGTTGATTGATTTGCGAATGTTAAACCATCCCTGCATCCCTGGAATAAATCCCACTTTGTAATTCCTTTATTCTTAGCTTCAACTCCCTATCCACCATGTTTCATGTATATACGTGTAATGCACTAACAAACCTATACACACATTCTATCACTAAAGAGAGAATAGAGGCCTGTAGAAAATAGACACGTTGCAGTTCTGTTTTGAGAAATACAGACATTCCTCATACATGGTGTGTTTACCTAATGAACTGATGCATTCTGTCGGGGGTAGTCACACCCAGAGAAGTAGGGTCTGATTGATTGGAGATTGTTTTAGGATCAGGGATTGCACTTTTGCATATGATAAGAATTGGTCAAAAAAGCCATTATTATGTTAATTTTAGCAAGTATATGACACATTTCTGACCTAGATATAATTATGCTGTCATTGAGGGACAGGTATAGGTTGTCTTTAGTTCAGCCTCCAAATCATGTTTTTGACATGTGTGCATACAGATTCATTTTAAATGCAGAAATTTACACATTGAAAACAACTAGCATAATGAAAAACTAATTTATTTTACTGTAACAAGTGCAGTCGAGTCCTATAAATATTTGCATGTATATTGCTGTTTTCTTTGCAGAGTTGGTCAAACGCCATGCTGGGGTGCTAGGACTTGGTGCATGTGTTCTTTCTAGTCCTTATGATGTTCCCACCTGGATGCCCCAGCTCCTTATGAATCTCAGTGCACATCTGAACGATCCTCAGCCTATAGAGGTAAAATTCTTCCTTGTTAGTTTCTTTGCACACCTCTTATCAGTGATGTTTTGTAAAAAACCATTTATACTAATAATTTTCTATATACTCTGGACTTTCTGCTTGGATAAAGCTACTACTACTACCCCTGCCAGGGCCAAGTCTTCCAATCAATAACTATTAAAATCTTGCAGAGACCTTGCTCTCATGTATATTTGAGATCTTTTGGTAGCAAGGAAATTATTATAGCTTCTGTCCTTCCCAGTCCAATGGAAGTAAAGTATTATCAATGTTTTGAGGATAGTTAAATTTTATACTTCTATTTTACTAGCATTTTATATCTAGGAAGTGTCTAACTGGGAGCTAATATTTAATAGGCAATTGTGATGTTATTATTTAGTGAACACCTATGTTCCTAAATTAAACAACTCAGAAGACCAGTGACTTTGTTCTTTTCACCTTTGTAAATAGACGTAAGTGTACATTGAAACCGGTTTAATAACGTGGTGTAGGGGCCGGCCAGGTGGCGCAAGCGGTTAAGTGCGCACGCTCTGCTGTGGCGGCCCGGGGTTTGCCGGTTCGGATCCCGGGCACGCACCGATGCACCGCTTGTCAAGCCATGCTGTGGCGGCATCCCATATAAAGTAGAGGAAGATGGGCACGGATGTTAGCCCAGGGCCAGTCTTTCTCAGCAAAAAAGAGAAGGATTGGCATTGGATGTTAGCTCAGGGCTGGTCCTCCTCACAAAAACAAAACAAAACAAAACAAAAAAAAAATAATGTGGTGTAAGTTCCAGTAGCTTGTCCTAAAGTGCAGCTAGTAATTCTAGAGAAGTGAGCTTGGTGGCTTTGCAAAGTACGGTTGGCTTATTAGTTTTATAGCACTCGGTGAAGTGTGAGATCTGAAGTCTAGAGGGATTGTTACTTAGCTAAAGGTATCCTAAATGTAACCCTAGTTGTTCAGAGAGGTTAAAATAAAATGTCTGTGGATTGCTTACTCCACAGATGACCGTAAAAAAGACCTTATCCAATTTCCGAAGGACACACCATGACAACTGGCAAGAACACAAACAGCAATTCACTGATGACCAGCTGCTTGTTCTCACCGATCTCCTTGTGTCACCATGCTATTATGCATAGAAAGGTAAGACAGCAAGGTTCTGAGTTGAAAAAAGTCTGACATCCTCAGGCAAATGTCGTTGGTTTGATGACTGACAAGTGGGTGTTCCTAAGTTTTTTCTTTTTGCTGACATTCTTAGATGTCATTGTTTAAAAAATTTTTTTTAACATAACTTTTGCTATGGCCAGTGAAGGTAAGTTCCCGGAGAGTTTTTCCTTGCTTCTCTGCTTCAGGTATTAAGCAGAGAATTGACGGGACTCCTTTTGGACCTTTAAAATGAGTAGGCTGGGCTGGCCCCGTGGCTTAGCGGTTAAGTGCGCGCGCTCCACTGCTGGCGGCCGGGGTTCGGATCCCGGGCGCGCACCGACGTGCCGCTTCTCCGGCCATGCTGAGGCCGCATCCCACATACAGCAACTAGAAGGATGTGCAGCTATGACAGACAACTATCTACTGGGGCTTTGGGGGGGGGGGATCTTTAAAATGAGTAGGCTTAGTAGCCTGGGAATGGTTAGATAAAAGAAAAGAAATCTTATTCTTAGTTGCCTTCTGAGTGCGGTCTGGGCATTTTAAGTTGCCCTGAGGACTCTAGGTTCTCTACAGTTGTGAGAACATTTCCTCTGGATTCTTAACTATTTATTATCCATTTTGTATTAAAGAGGGAGGACCCAGAAGCCTTTCTAACTGAGATAGGAGTAATAAAGAAAATTTTATTTATGGGGCTTTTAGATTTGGATGTCCTGTTGTCTAACTGAAATTTTTTTCTCCCTGATACAGATGAGTAGTCCTCACTTCAAGCTCTTTTCATCAAAAATTCCAGATCCTCAGGTACCATCTGTGGTGGCTCTCTGCAGGTTTTCAAACTCTGCCTCTGTTGAGCTCTCATCATTTTGGTGGTTTCTGTGTTTGGTCTCATTAGTCTGCGTTCCACAGGTTCTCAGCTGCCGTTCGATTTCCTAACTTGTCCAGAGTGTTTCCAGAATATTGATCACTTTTTCTTTGAGGCATCTGACAAAGCCACAATGGCTCAGACTAGAAATAATTAACCCAATATGATCATGGCATCCAAGACTGGACAGAGTCTGGGAACTCGTTAAGAAACAGTTTACTTGGAATGGAGAATACCCATCTGTGATACAGGTCCTGTCATTTCTTTCATCTCAAATTATTTTGAATTCTTTCCAAATGGCTGTTGGGTTTCGATGATAGTAGGGCTGTGGGCCATATATCTGAAGCCTTGAGAGCCTTGGGTCTGGAGAGCCATGAAGAGGGAAGGAAAAGAGGGCAAGTCTTGAACCTAACCAAGGACCTGATGGATTGCTCGACCAAGACACAGAAGTGAATCTGTGTCCCTGTGCTTCCCACAGACTGGAGTTTTTGGTGCTGAATAGAAGAGCAGTTGCTGAAAAACTAGGGATTTGGTGAATAAATTTTTGATTGATTGTTGTGTGTGTTTTACAATGTGTGATTTTAAAATAAACAGCAACAACAATAAAAACCCTGACTGGTTGATTTTTACCTGAATTCTTTACAAATACTGTTTGACCCTCTTTAAAAACTGTCACACTTCACCTAATGAAAGACTGCTGTGTTTGTGAAAAATCTGTAATTTTTTTTTCTTTTTGTTTTCTTCTCTTTTTTTGCCTGCAGAATCGTTGAGAGACTAATAAGTCTTGATATTTAATTGACTTGTTTAATAAATGTTATATAGATGTAAAAGACTGTATAAACTATAGAGATAGCATTGGCAAGACTTTGTACAGATGCAACCTTTTACACACCATTGTGTAATTAACTTGTAAAGATTCACACGTAGCTCTTTATTATAGTGATTTTTGGCTTTTGTACCAATTGAATGCCATTTTTTGTTTTTAAATTATTTTCTTTTATCTTTTCATGTTACAGAAGCTGAGGTGTGGGGTTTGAGTTCGAGTTCATTTATCGTTAGACTGTCTGAATTTTTATGTAACTTTTGTGTGAGCATCTCTAAATGCGAACACCACATGTTTGCCTATGACAAGTTTATAGAATGCAAGGTATCTTCTAGATTAAAGTAATTCACAAGTTGGTGAATGTCATCTTGCAGCACACCCTGTACAGTCTTCCTTAAAGGAACACTACAGTATATTTTTTAGTATCTACTTGCTGAATGACTCAGTGCAGACCTAAGCACAGCAGAGGTCCTGGTACAGTACTTAAGTGTCAGCATACACAGGCGTAATCTCTGTATAGAGTAGTGCCAAACTCATTATTTGAATTGTGTAACTAGTTTAAAACCCAATAAATGAATTGTTTTTAACACCTGGCTTTTGTCTTCATTATGAGGAAAAGACAGTTCTATAGGCACTGAATTCCTTTTGCATCCATGGATCTGGCCCCATAAATTCATACCCTCTGACCAAAGTGAATTGTCTAGATCAGACCTGTCCAGTGCAGTAGCTAATAGCCACGTGTGACTATTTATTTTATTTTGATGAGGAAGATTCGCCGTGAGTGCCGGTCTTCCTCTGTAAGATATGATTTTTAATTCATGCTCCCAGTTCATGATATCGATCCCTGGTCCTGAGACCACACTTGGAGTAGCAAGGCTTTATAGCTTATTGACCACTTCAGCTTTTTCTAACTAAGCTGTATAGAACTCTGCCTTAGCAAGTTCCTCAAGTGGGAACTTTAAAAAAGTAACATACTGGGCACCCACTGTGTTCCTCAATCAGAATTTCTCTGGTTGGGGCTCAGGCATCAGCATTGTTGAAAAGCTCCACAGTGCTTCAGTTGTGCAGCCAAGATTGAGAACCACTAGAGAAGACTCCTAAGGTAAGGCGCACTCTCGACTTAAAAACGGGGTACCTTAATCTGTGTTTCTAACATGTGCCCCATGGGATTCGGATACCAGATTTAGAAGTTGCTTACTACCATGAACTATTTAATTCCTTAAATTTTCTACCAGTGGCCTCAAGAATGAAAGTGAGGAGGGAGAGAAAAGGGGTTGAATGGCTACTGTTGTCTAAGATGGTTCTTAAATGTATGTTGCATTAAAGAGAATGGAGAAGGACAGAGCAGGAATAGTGTTAAGGGAGACAATAAAAATTTGGGGGTGGGGGGGAGCAGACTGATGTTCAGAAGTCACTGCTGATTTCAGGGCGTGGAAGAGAGAGTCAAGGTAAGTTTCTAGGTGGGAGAGGGGTAAGTGGTAAAAAGTGAGGGGAAGAGAAAGCCTATATATTCTTTGAGGTTGTGAGAGCTCATAAATAATGTTTAGTTTCTGAACAGATCCTTTAAAAAACAAACACTTGGCAAATTGTTTCAAAATTTAGGAGGAAAATACCCACCTATCTTCTTAATGTGTTTGACCAAAAGTTTTGGTGCAAAAAAAAAAAGATGAGAAAGCTGTTTTCAAATATTCAGAATACTTGGCACTGCCAAGCCTTTTAGGTTGCAGGCCAATTTTGATAATTAGTAGTGTGGACAGAAAGGACCAGTGAGGAATTTTGTTTTCCTGAAAAAATTAACTTTTTCTACATAGTCTTCATAGTTATTTTTATGGACAAAGAACATTTGTCTTGCTCATGTAATTGTTTTTGAGTATTCCCCCATTGTTGAACATCAAGGTTGTTTTCAGTTGTCTCCACTACAAATTACACTGCAGTGAACATTTTCATACTTTCATGATTAGACCTTTCAAGTATTTCCTTAGGATAAATTCCAAGTAGTGAGATTTTTAGGTCAAGAATGTAAACATTTTAATGGCTCTAATACGTTGTTTTCCTCAAAGTGCACACACATCAATTTGCATTGCCAATGATAGTGTATGTTAGAATGCTGGTTTCCCTGCAAATTGATAGCCCATTCATATTTTAACATTTATGGTTAGCCCTGCTTGTTTATTTGCAAATTTTCCATTTTTTGACTACTAAGCCAATGTTCTTTCCAATTTGGCATATTTTGCTGGTGGTTTTTTTAGACGTGATTACTATAGCTTTAGTCTTGCTGATGGTACTAACTAGTTCAGGAACTTGGGTGGTTCCTGATTTCCTCTTCTAGATCTCTAGAATCCTTTACAACTTGTGAATTGGGTTTTTTGTTTTGTTTTGGGTTTTTCTTCAGTATGGGATAATTTCTCCCCTAGGTGTAACTCCACTGGCTGCATTCCAGCCCAAACCTATTGTTATCTGTCACATGGCCAAATGCCTGGAAATAAGCTGCAGTCGTTTATGCGGTAGCTAATTCATATGGAGAGGAATGTATCTTCCGTTAGTTTCCACTTTAAATGCTAACTCTAAAAACTAAGGAGTCTTTTTCTAAGTTGATTATGTCTGGGGCCAACGTCACTATTACTGACAACATAGATTAGAACTGCTGTATTGCAAGTGGTTGGGGAGTGGAGCATTACATGGGAACTGGAAAATTTTGAAGTTATTTCTAAACAAATTCTGATAGCATAGTCAACTTCTGGACTGAATGTCTACCTCATAAATTATCCAATCCTCTTGTTTTTCTCTTGATGAAAGCACTAGGAACTGGGAAAGATAAGTTATATGCATAAATCAAAGTCTTTGGTACTTGTTGGTACCAAACTGTTTTCTTTAAAAAGATAAACTATTAGCTAACATAGGGATTTCAATAGCACTATTCTAAGTATTTCACTTGAATGGCATTAATTTTCTGGTTTTCTGGTACCGGGGTGAAGGAAAGGGCATTCAAACAGCATTCTTTAATTATTTCTAAATAGTACCCCTGAGAAGGTTAGAAAAGTAGTAAGATCCTAATTACTCAGGTTGGGACACTTAGGAATGTTACTTGATGGCTCTGAAACTAAAATCATTTTATGAGTTCATTATTTTGGACATGTGGACTTTAGAAGAATGAGAGGATGGTAGTTGTTTGGTGTTCTTGCTTACTAAAATTAACCTAGTTGCATACATAGCACCATTGCATTTCAAGATTTTTTACATTCAACACAGTATTAGATAATGTCCATGATTTCCTGGCTTGGTTATTTTATTTGCATGGGTAGTTTATTTTGCATTCGTTTCCTAGTAGTTATTCCTCTTGCTGAGTTCCCTCAGTAAATCCATTAATACTTTCAGAGAGCTGAGAGAAAAAAAAAATGTGTGGTTCTTTTATTTTACATTAAGTTAAAGTTCGTTTGATTTAAAAACTGTTAGAATGACTTGATTTACAAATTCTGTGTCTCCAAGTACCAAACTGGACGATGACGCCAGTGTAATCTAGGAGAAAAAGTATTAGCTGCAGCCTGGAGAGCAGCTAGGCAGGCTGGCTGGAAAGCGCCGGGAATGGGGGGAGGTGGGCAGCGGGCCGGGCGAGAAGCCCATGGGGGCCCACGGACCCGCCCCACTCCACGGTCCCCTCCCTCTAAGGCCTAGGCCCCCGCGGGTCGCTGTGTGCCATCGGTGACCCCACCTTTCCACCCAGGCCGCTTGCCCCTTCTTACTCTCAACCTCAGGGAACCCGGCTCCCGAAACAGCACAACCGCGAGCCTGAGAACCCGCGCGGCGCGGGCACGGGGCCGCGCCGCAGAGCACGAGGGGCCCCCGAGGCGCTGGGGGTGCGGGGAGGCAGGCGGGGCGCCGAGGCCCGAGTGTCCGGCGAGGGGGCGGCGCCCTCCGCGTCCCTGTGACTGCGCTCCGCGCCCCCGTCTGCCGCGACTCCCGGGATGCGCGGAGGCGGCGGCGATGGCGATGATGCCTCTAGCCCTGCATCCTCCCGGGCGGCGGCCGGAGCTACGGTCCGGGCTGCGAGATGGAGGAGGAGGGGCGGCGCTGCGCCCACCTGGCAGGTGAGAGGCCGCGGGCCCCCAAGGAGGACAGCCCCGCGGGGACGGGGAGGGCCGGGCCCCGGGAAGCCGGCGTGATGGCGAGGAGCGCGGCTGCGCTGGTCCAGGCCCGGCCGTCGCGCACCTGCGCTCCCGGCGCGGCCTGCGGGGAAGCTATCTCGCCCCTGCCTGGCCCGCTCCCGGGCTCCGCCGGGCCGTGGACCCCTCCCCCGCCGCCCGTGCCCTGGCCGAGTCCTCCTCACTCCACCAACCCTCTGCTGCTGCTTTTACTAGCTTCCCTGGCCCGGCCTAGGCCCTCCTTACCATAACCTGCACCACCCCGGGGAGCTCTTACCCATCGCCAGCCCCTGGCCGAGGTCGACCTCCTCCCCGCAGTCTCCATCCCCATCTCCAGACTAGGAGCTCCACGGCCTCCGCATCTCCCTCATCTACTGACCCTCCTCCACCCCATCAGGTGCTCTGGGCTTCCAGAGGTAGTTCAATTGGGGAGAAAGAGCCTGGGCTCTGAAATCAGATAAATCTGGCTTGAATCTTAGTGACCTTGGGCAAGTCATCTAACTTCCCTGAGGTTTTCCTGATCAATACAAATACAATAGGGAGAATAATAATATAGAACCTTGCTCTCTGTGAGGGTTACACTCTGAAAATGTCTGCCCTCGAGGAATTTAAGGCTTTGTGAGGGAAAAAAAATGAGTTGGAAGAATCCAGGTCATGAGTTGACTTGTAAAAGCTCAGATTTTGTGTACTAAAATATTAAGATAGCACACTAGATTATCAAAGGCTTTTCACACATCTTAATGACAAATCATTGCCACTATACAATCATTTTTCATTTTCTATGCCTTGCTTGCTAGTTACTTTAAGATCCCTCCTTCTCAGTTGTAACAAGATGCATATAATAGGAGTTCATTCCGTCTTATTGTGGCTAATATGCCTGCCTGCTCAAGGCTGGTGTTCCAACTTAAAATTATTCTGATTTTATGACTTTAATCACATCTTCTTCCAGGATGTATTTATGGTCCCAGAGATAAAGAGTAGCTTGTGTGCTTGCATTGAAAGAACGTTGGTAACCTTTATTTAATATTTAGGAGTAGCAAGTAGATATTCATTTACGGCCGCCCTCCCCCAAATCACTGGGTTTTGTAGTTTGGCTGTCATAACTTTGTTCCAAATTGTGATCTCAGCCTCCTTTTTCTTAAAGTCCCAGAAGTGAGTCCTGAGACCTGGGTTTACTTTCCCTCTATTTAGTTTATAGCTCCTAAAGTTTCTCTGCCAAAACCTTTACTTCTGTCTCCTGCTTTTCCTCACTTTTCTCCTCAGCCTCTGATTCCTTCCTTTTTTTTCCTAATTATTCCAATAGGAGTGATTTATAGTTACTTTATGCCAGAACCATAATTATCAACCTTGCCAAAAGGGTACACAGAAGTGTGTGTGTGTGTGTGTGTATGTGTGTATTCAAATTTAGGGTTCCGGGAACTTTGAGTTGGGAAGGAATTGCAATACCTACTTAATAGGATTATATTGAGAATGAACTAAAGTTTGGTAACTTATGTAAAGCTTCTAGTATAGGGGCCTGGCATATAATAACCACCCAATAAATTATAGCTCCAGTAACTATCTTCTGACCTGGAGATCCCTCCCTTGAACTCTTTGCTGTTCTGTTTAGAATAGTGGTAATTATATTCCTGATAATTATATTCCTGACCTAGAATTCTCCTTTTTTTTTAATCTATTGAAAAAATTTAAATTTATTGAAAAAAATAACTGTACAGAGAGAGAAAGTTGCCCCTCAACCACTCCAAATCTTTTTTCCTCCTGCCCCTTCTCCTTGACTAATGTTGGTGCCTCATCATCCCATCTTCCCCTTGACAACTCGCTTTCCAAACATCTCCTAGCCTGGGGTCTTCTTGAGTTCCATCATCCGACTTCCTCATTATTACCCACTTACTTGACATTTCTCTTAGCACCCTAGTTCCAGACTCTTCATCCTTCTAATTTCCCCAAACCAAATTCCTGCTTCCCTCTTCACCCCTGTTCATTTCCCTACTTCCAAAGAGGAAAGCCTATGGGGGCAGGGAGATTTGCTATTATCAATAGTATCACCTCTCTGCTCTTCCTGCCTCCTCAAAGTTTTTCTCTTCTACTCTTTTCATCAGTTAACTCCAATCCTCCAATTAACAATTAAAAAAACAAACAGTAAAAGGTTGTGTTTTTCACTACATGGGTATCAAAAAGGGTTCAGAAACAGGCACACAATCTTTTAGTGAAAACAATAAGCTATCCATTATTATTATTTTTTAAATTCTAATTATCAAGAAACAAAGGTCAGGATTCATATTTTTCTCTCTCACAGAACTTTTATAAGCAAAGTACAGAAAAGTTGGTCTAGCTTCCCAGTAGAGAAATTCATCATATTGTCATGATCTGCACTATATGACCATTGAGAATTAGAAGAGGTTATCTTCTTCCTTCATGAAGGACACCAGTTGTATAGATTTCCCCAGGACTGAAATTTGTCTGATGCTCGCTGGCACAGCCATACCTGTTATTGAATGCTGAGAGACATTTATATTGGGTGGCCCATAGCTGCTGCTGGCAACCCCCAGTAATCCCTCACTGACATGGCCCCTTCTTCTGCACCCCATGATCCAGCAACTAAAGGGTTAACCCCTGGCACAGCTGGAGGCCTCTGGGACCCAACTTGAGCTGGGGGTTAAATACTCTGAACATCACCCCCGGACCTCCCCAGTGTCATTGGTTATTCATAAAATGCTGGGTTAAAGCAAGTACTTTTCAGTTGTCAAGAGCATTACACCAGTCTCCAAGGAACAACGTCAGCTGTCCCACTAGAAACACCTTTGGGAGCAGGGTGGGCACCAGGCCACAGAGGGCTTTGGGATTTGGAACAACAGGAGATTTGTGTGAGTGTACTTTAAATCTCATTGCAAAATAGAAAAAAAAAAAAGGTTAAGAAAATAAAAGAGCAAGAAGAAAAAGAAGTTATTCTTTTAAAGTAGAGGCTGTGTTGGGGCCGGCCCCATGGCTTGGCGGTTAAGTGCGCGCGCTCCGCTGCTGGTGGCCCAGGTTCGGATCCAGGGCGCGCACCGACGCACCACTTCTCCGGCCATCCTGAGGCCGAGTCCCACATACAGCAACTAGAAGGATGTGCAGCTATGACATACAACTATCTACTGGGGCTTTGGG